CAGTCCTGGAGGCTGGGGAAGGCCTGGATGAGGGCTCTGCGTCAGAGACAGAGATGGGGCCAGGGCAGTGGTGGTTGCCCCCGGTTTGCACCGGTTCTATAGATCCAGTAGTAACCAAAACACTTCTGCGCATGCGCAGAAGCTTCTGCACTTGCTCAGAAGACTGCATGCGCGGTCCCATTGTGAACTGGTAGTAAAGGTAAGTAGAACTCACCTCTGGGCCAGGGCCATCGGGGAGTGATGCGCAGACTTCGGAGCCTCCAGAGGCTGACAGTAGAGAGGCAGAGGAACAGGAGGAGCCTGTTCCTAGTGCACGTATGAGAAGAGCTGCCAGAAGGCAGGAGCAGCTAAAGCAGAGAGGACGGCTCGGGAGTAGGGCCAAGAGATGATTGGCCCCTCCCATAAGGCTTAAAAGACCAGCAACGGCTCTTGGCCTCTTTGCCAGAAAACAACAGTTGAGAGATTTGCTTCGTGTTTGTATGTATTTCTTTCTTGTCAGCGTCTTCTGTTTCTGAACTGTTGCCAAGAAAAGCCTTTGGCAGTTTGCCTAATTATCCCAAGGTCGGTGATAAACTGAAGAATGGTGTTTTGAGGACTTTGCTTCCATTTAATTTGGAATATGCTGAGAATGAGTTAGTTCTCAGGTGTTTTAATAAAATCTATTTGTTTTTTGGAACTGTTTTGCATTTAATATTAACTACATGGGCCTGGGTCACAACAACGCCGGAGCGCCAGAAACCTGAAGACCAGCTGGCTGGTGCACATGTGCATGCCGGAAACCAGACGAGCAGTTGGCGACGGCGTGCATGCCTACAGAGAGGGCTCTGCGTGCCACCTCTGGCACACGAGCCATAGGTTCACCATCACGGGTATAGGATCTCCTCCCTGTGCAATGGTTGGATTTAGAAGACTTCTAACTCTGTTATTCTGTGGGGTGTTTTTTTTTCAGATTCTCTGCATTTCATTTCATTGGTTTTCCATGGAACATGGGTGGAAATTGTGATACTGCTGATACTAAGATATGTATCTCTCAGCTTTGGTAATTTGATCGTAGAGCAATATTTCTCAACCTTGGCAACTTTAAGTCGTATGGACTTCAACTGGTTGGGAGTCCTTGTTTATAAAAGTCTCTTTTATAAATCCAATATAGTAAAGTTATCTAAATCGCTCTTTCGGTTTGTTATTTGTACGTCTCTTTTTATTATTAAGACATCAGCCAGTTTCATTTTTATATCCAGTGTAGCATCTTTTTGTGTATTGTTCTTGGAGCTTGTCATTTTAAAATCTACTTTCTAACCAGTCTTGTCTGGCAAAACTTGTTCCTCTGCCATATCTTCTTTTAAGCATAGTCCATCTACAGAAGCAGACATTCTTAAAATAAACTTCTAGGTCTATTATTCAAAAATATCCCTCAATATGTCCAACGTTAAAAGTATTTTGCTCCAGTTTGAATTTAACACTTAGTTCCTTCTGATTCCCTCTAGTGTTCAATCTTCAAAGTTTCAACTATACATTTTTTAAAAGAGAATCCAAAATAAAAGGATTTTCCCACATGAATGATTCTTATTATTAATTCAAAAATCTTATTTCAAATCCATCTTGACCCTTTGTCCATTTGTAACTTTTCAGAATCAAAGTTCTAATCACCCCTTCGCTGTTTATTCCAAAAGGAAAAATAATAAGTCCTTAAACTTGTCCTTTAAAACTTATTTCACTAAGAAGAGAAGGAAACTCTCTGAGTGCTATCAAACCAAAGAATCCTGGTAGCTGAAAAGAGTTAATAAACATTAGGGTTTAAGTAAAAAAAAAAACATTTTTGAAAATGATCAGAAAAGGAAATATGTTAACCCAATCTTTAAAGATCCTCATCTGTCTTGCTGATTCCTTGTGAGAAGCAACTGTCTGGAGCAGGGATCTCCAACCTTGGCAACTTTAAGACTTGTGGACTTCAACTCCCAGAATTCCCCAGCCAGCAAAGCAAAGCTGGCTGAAGAATTCTGGGAGTTGAAGTCCACAAGTCTTAAAGTTGCCAAGGTTGGAGACCCTTGGTCTGGAGCACTTGTGGGAGATCTCAAGTCTTCTCCTCCATCTGGAGAGGAATTGTTAAGGAGCTTTTCTACTAACCAGTTCTCTGCAGAACACCTCTGGATTTCTGTATACACAGGAAGAAGATTTCCATCCCCAAATAGCAAGTTAGAATTTCCAGGTTTAATAAACGGGGTAGGAATTTGCAAACTTTTTAGATAGATAGATAGATAGATAGATAGATAGATAGATAGATAGATAGATAAGAGATAGAAAAGAGATAGATAGATGATAGATAGATAGATAGATAGATAGATAGATAGATAGATAGATGATAGATGATAGATAATTGCTAGATAGATGATAGACAGACAGACAGACAAACTTGCCCACTGATGAAAAACATGCAAAGTCCAGTTTAGCTTTTAGCAGCTTAGCTCAATCTGCAAAAAAAAAAAAAAAAAAAAAGTTTAAAAGGGACCGACTTTGGTTGATTTTCTTTTTTTTCCCCAACCGCCAAAAGTTTTTCTATTTTGTAAATACCATTCACCAAAACTGACACATCAAAATAATTTTAAAAGATGCAATTCTAGAGTTGGCAGGCGAACAGTTGGCTGTGATGTTGGTCTATATTGCTTTTCCCCCAAATGTATAGAACGAGGTTTGTTTGTTTGTTTTTTAAATCAGATTTCAGATTATTTAGCAAGCTCGGAACTAAGAGCATGGAGAAATTGTTTCCATTATTCATATCTGTTGCCTCTCAGAAGGAGAAGCCTCTCGGAACTGTGTACAAGCAATAGAAGCAATATTAAATCAAAATATAATGAAATATTACTTAAAAACAAGATAACATCTTGCATCCTCCCTGCAAGGCAATTGGTGTTAACGGTCTTGCATGCAGCAGGGAGAATAAATTGCAAATGAAACCAGTTTGGGGTGCTGTCTTCCTTCCCTTTTCTTTTTTTGATTTATTCCTACAGGGCAATTGAAATTAATGGCTTGTGTGAGGATGCCCAGTTCAACAGGCTTCTCAGGTTTTTATCTGCTTTTCTCCCAAATTCTTTTCTTCCCAAGTTCAGGGAAGTTTCTAGAATATTTGGATGTCGCTGCATACAGGTTTCGTCCAGCACAATTGCTATTTAAATGTATGATTAAACCACACTGGATGTGTTTCCAGAGCACACAAAGTCCCCAAGCAAAATCAGATTTTGGTTTATGATGATGGGTGAACTTACACTGAGGTTTTTCTTGTCTGAATCGCAAACTAACCAGTTTTGGCCTACAATGATGTGGAATTGGCTAGTTTAGTTTATGATTCAGTGTATTACAGTCAACCATAAAGGAACCTCTGGACCGGAGCTATTTGATTGCGGTTGACAATTGTGTGAATCAGAAAAAACTGGGATACTCAATTAAAACATGGTCCAGTTGTCCATGATTAAGCAACATTGGAATATTGACATAAAATTATAAGAAGTTCTTTAGGACATTGAATCGATAGTCGGTATAGGTATAAAAATTACAGCATCTTTTATGAATGGCTTTCACTGTGAGAGCATATGCACCAAGACAAATTCCTTGTGTGTCCAATCACACTTGGCCAATAAAATTTCTATTCTATTCTATTCTATTCCATTCCATTCCATTCCATTCCATTCCATTCCATTCCAGCCTCAGCCTCAGCCTCAGTCTCAGCCTGAACTTATCCAAGGAAGCAGAAACCATTACTCCTTGTCCTCAAGTTTCAGAAGGTCTCCCTGGCCACAAAGTCTAAAAGCAGCAGGATTCATCTCAATCTTGGACTCTAGAATTCTCAGGGTTGTTGTTTGTTTTATTACCCCAATTCAGACAGTGACGGCTAGGGTAGGGTTTGACTTTGCCCAATATGGATAACTAGAAACCTAGGAATCTCATGCATACAACTTGCAAAACTTGAGTAATCTTTGTGTCTTTTTGGTAACTTTAAGGTGAAAAACCAGTGGTGAAATCCAAATTTTTTCACTATCGGTTCTGTGGACATGGCTTGGTGGGCATGGCAGGGGAAGGATACTGCAAAATCTTCATTCCCACCCCACTCCAGGGGAAAGATATTGCAAAATCTCCATTCCCATCCCACTCCAGGGGAAGGATACTGCAAAATCTCCATTCCCATCCCACTCCAGGGGAAGGATATTGCAAAATCTCCATTCCCACCCCACTTGGTAGTGGGTGGTCTAAGGCACCCTGTTATTAAGCTGGTTATTAAGACCAGCTGCCTGCAATTACTGCAGGTTCGAATCTCACCAAGGCTCAAGGTTGACTCAGCCTTCCATCCTTTCTAAGGTAGGTAAATTGAGGACCCAGTTGTGGGGGCAATAAGCTGACTTTGTATAAATATACAAAAGGATGAAGGCTATTGCTTAGCGCATTGTAAGCCGCCCTGAGTCTCCGGAGAAGGGCGGCATATAAATCAAATTTAAAAAAAAAAAAAAACAACTCTGGGGCGAGCCAGAGGTGGTATTTCCTGGTTCTCCGAACTCCTCAAAATTTCCGCTACCGGTTCTCCAGAACCTGTCAGAACCTGCTGGATTTCACCCCTGGTGAAAACTCAGCCTGTAGCTTGAGCTCTGGAGCTCAATATATTGTCTGAATCCAGAAAGTAGGTTCATTTGATAGAGCCACATTGACGCAGTGGTTAGAGTTCAGTACAGCAGGCTACTTCTGCCAGCAGTTTGGCAGATCGAATCTCACCAGGCTCAAGGTTGACTCAGCCTTCCATCCTTCCAAGGTGAGTAAAATGAGGACCCAGATTGTTGGGGGCAATATGCTGACTCTGTAAACCGCTTAGAGTGGGCTGTAAAGCACTGTGAAGCGGTATATAAGTCTAAGTGCTATTGCTATTGCTAACCCAAGTATAAGATGTGAATCTAAGCCAATGCAAGATATGGTCGTTTCTCCTAAATTCCGAGCAGACTTTTAATCAGCTTTTCTTCTTTCCACACCCTTCTTTGGCCAACCATCTCTTCCTGCCCCAGACAACTCCCACACTTTTGAAATCCAAGTTGAAACTCCACCCTGTTGGAGAGGTGGTGAGGCTCCTATTCGCCGGCTGCCTTCATTTAAAAGGGAAGGTGATCTATGTGCTAGGAAAGGTTGGGAAAGGAGAGAGTCACCATGGGGAGGCTGCTCTTGTTACTTCACTTATGTGCCTGGACTTTTGCTTTCGGTGAGTGTTTGGTTGAGGAAGGGTGATTTTTTTTAAAAAAAAAATTATGAACAGTTTCTGTAGGCAAAACATATTTTGCTTTAATGCTGATGTTTGTGGGTGGAAAATTCAGTGCCTTTGCTTTGCTTGCTCTCTGCGTAGCTGGGTTCCTCTCCTTCAGCTGGGGAGGTGGGGTAGACAAGTTTCTACATCACTCTTCTAGATGTGAGAACTGCCATGGCTTTAATAGCCAAAAAGGGAACTATTGAAACACAAGAGAATATTCGCAGTTTGAGGGTGGAAACCACAAGCTTTGCAGAAGTATTTAGAATATTACAAGAAATGGCGAAGTGGTCTCTGAAAACGCCTCTTAAGAAGGTTGGAACTTCTTAAGTTCATATGATCTGTTTGAACTGCAAACGAGCCTAACCCTCGTCTAGTTACGTTGTGTGAATCAGACACTCTGTCCTGTCACAGGTCTGACACACACACAGAGAGAAGTACAGTTCTCGGCTTTACTTGATTTTGAGAAATTACAGCAGCAGCAGGCAAGGCGTATAGGATGATGTGCACAGAATCTCAAACTGTCCCAGATCACTTGGATGCTTACAAGCAAGATCCCATTGGTGGATGCTCCAGAGATCACAGAGTTGGCATAGTTTTGTCAGCCAATCCAGGTTTAAAAAGCACCAAGTTTTCACAGGAAAGAGCTCGGGGCATAACAGACAAGAAATCCCAGTAAACGGATTACTTGTCTGTAATGGATGGCTTGCCTGTGATGGTCATAAAAGAGACTCCCACCAAGGACAAGCAGTCACTGGTTTGAAAACTCTTGCTTGGCAAGGAGCCTGAAGATCTGTCCTTCACGCAGCCCCGAAAATCTTAGGACTGGAAGGAGCTCCTGGATCAAACCCCTCATATTCTGCTGCTTCCAGCTGGTCTATAACCTCTACTGCCCCAATCAGCCCAAGATGTCTCCCTACTGCTCTCTGGAGCAGGCTGCTATTCCACAGGGTCCTCTGAAGTCCCCACCTTCTCAGACACCTCAGAATCAGAGCTGGCCATGACGAACCCTGGGATTAAGTCACAGTTCAGGGCAGTTGTGAAATCCAATTTTTTTTATTACCGGTTCTGTGGGTGTGGCTTGGTGGGTGTAGTGTGGCTTGGTGGGCGTGGCTTGGTGAGCGTGGCAGGGAAAGGATACTGCAAAATCTCCATTCCCATCCCACTCGGAGGCCAGCCAGAGGTGGTATTTGCTGGTTCTCCGAACTACTCAAAATTTCTGCTACCAATTCTCCAGAACCTGTCAGAACCTGCTGGATTTCACCCCTGGTTCAGGTTGTCTTGCACCAACATATCTTCTGTGAACATATAGTTTCACTCATTGGGGGTGAGGGGAAGTGATGGAGAAACTGCTGAGATGTGGAAATATGTGCTGTAATCTTGGATTATATAAACAACCGAGGTTAATGTCTAGATCAGTGTTCCTCATCCTTAGGAAGTTTTAAGATGTGTGAACTTCAAATCCCAGAATTCTTCAGCCAGAACATTGAAGTCCACACTTGTTAAAGTTCCCACGGTTGAGAAACACCGAATTAGATAACTCCACTGATTAAGGCACAGGAACAGAAGCTAATGAAACAGTGGCACTTCTACCTGTGGGCTTTCCTTCTTTGGACTCTGCTGCCACTCCTCAAAACACCCTCCAAAGGCCTTTTAAATGTTTCTTTGTGACTTCTTGGGATGATTTTAAATTGGCCGGTTGCTTAATGTTGATTTTGCTCTTAGCAACCCAGAGAACTCTTCTTCAGAATTTGGGTGGCCAAGAACACGTAAATCAATAAATGCATTGATTATTCAGGTATAGCCTTTATAGATCAACTGTATGCTTCTGCACAGGTACAAAAATGTCCTGTGTCTGTAATTTGCAGCTTTGTGCTGATCTCACACGCATGTTCCTGGCTTTGTGTACAGTACATGTAATAGATCAACTATGACATATACATGGTGCCTTAGAATTCAAGTATAAATCTCAAGTAGTTTTAAAGAAACTGTCATAGAGGAAGCTCTACATCTCATGACTGAATTCAGATCTCTCAAGATGTGACAGTTTCATTGTTAAAGATTCTTGAGTTATGGGGACAATGGGTAGTACTAGTACTGTGTTGCCAGCTTCTGCCTAAAGATTAAACTGCGTTGCACAACAAGCTAAACTTCAAAACATGTAATATCTCCCAGCAGCAAGAGAAATAACTTTATATCTATTTTACTCCTACCTGCTGCAATTGATAATACAGGGAGTTCCAACTTAGCAGCTGCCTTGGCTAGCGACTACAGTTCCAGTACTGCTCAAAAAGTTAATTTTGCAATCTTCTCATTTATGATTGTCACAGGTTTGTAAAGCAAAGGAAAGCCTAAGCACAGTCATGGTTTCACTCAGCAACTGGTTTGCTTAATCCAGTTGCTGACTCCAATTGTGGTCGTTAAATAAGGACTGCCCTAGTAGGACAGCTATGAAGCAAGCAGGACTTCCTTGGTTTTCAATGGTCTAAACCAGGGGTGTCAAACTCACGGCCCGTGGGCCAGATGCGCGCTGGCCACACCCATGCCCGGTTTAGCGAAGGAGGGGAAAGTTCTGATGCATCATGTGACACCACCATGACGATGTGGGTTTTGATACCCCTGGTCTAAATTAACTATGACCTAGTATAATGCATGAACCCAGAGTGTCAGTGTGCTTACTCTTGTCTAAGAGTAAGGAAAAACAAAAATATTCCTTAAAATAGGTATTTAATTAATATTCTTTATTCCAGCCCAACTAAGGATAATATCAGATTTAATTATCATAAATATCAGAAGCACCGTTCTTTGAGACCAGGAACTGATTTCTCTCCAGTCTTTTGCTAAGCTTGGGTTCAACTCAGGAATTTCTCTGAACCAGAAGAATTTTTAAGACTCTTCTTTTATCATTTGATTTGTTACTTTGCTTTTAAAAAATAAAACATCCACTTATTAAAAATGAAAGATGCCTAGCAAGAGAAATGTATCCTATCTTCATTTAAAGGAGGATACTTTTGAAGATGGCATTCCTGGTTGATCTGTCATCTTTCAAGAATACTTTAACATTTTCATTTCTCCCCCCCCCCCCCCCCCTCCCCGCTTAAAACGATGTACAGCTGACCATACTGGAATACCAGTTTCTCCAGATAAATCAGCACAAATGGACAAACATAATGAGAATTTTAGTTGTGGATTTTGTGTGTACACGCATTTTAAAGCAGCCCCAATAGTCTTGCTGAGCAATCACCCAGACATCAACCAATATTTCTCTCTTAGTTACATTAAGAAGGTTCAAGCTATTTCCTGCTACTTGCCCCTCTTCAGATATATTGACCAACAATAGCTAGATATGACAGGAGTTTCAGTCAACCTGAGATCACCAAATTGGGAAAGGCAATTTTAAAAGACTATTAACCCAGAGTGTTTGCAGTGCACGTGTTTACATTAGGTAGCAAATGTGTTGGCTTCATTGATTAGATCCACCTATTGCATTAAGCCATGGTTTGCTTTTCTGTGACTAATTGAATAAACTCCAGTAGTTGGGTTCACCAACACACTAGGATAAAATCAAAGAAATCAAATTATTGTATTGTGTGACTTCAGGGATTGGCTTTCCTCTGTTTGGAATTTGTATAAATGCCCATTAATTTTTCAGCTTCTTTGGCAAAAAACAACAACAGTCAAGCATTTTTTTTTTTTTTTGCCAACCATGTGGTTTTTACCAGTATCTCCAATTTACTAAGGTGATCTCATTTATGGAGCTTTGGATACTATAATGATCAGCCAAAAGTTCATATTTTGTGTGTGGCTATTAAATAAGTTTGAATGAGCTAGGCAACTGTAGTGATTTGTTAACCATAGTTTCTGGCTTAATGCATTTGCAGAGCCAATTGCAAAACTGTAGTTTATTTAATAAACCATGGTTAGCAAGTCTCGCCTGGATTTGATTTGGGGATCCAGGGGCATAATTGTCCCATTAACCAGCTACCTTAGTACTAACCAAAAACTAAAAACTACTCCATTTTGTGCTAATGCAAACTCTGAACTTGGCTGTTGTCCAATGTGGCAATTTAATGTTGGAAGAAATCTCCTTCTGGGTTCAGCTCCAAGTTGGGGAGAAAGACACTGGAAACATGGTGGGTGCTTTGGAAAGATGGTTTTAATGGTGGACAGGATCACATGCCTTGATGATGTTGGGTGAAGAAAAAAAGGCCGAGATGCTGAGAGTGCCCTGGTTTTATGCCCTCTCTGGGCCCCACCTTAGAGCTTCCTGTTCCTGTGTAAGAAATGTATTCTGATTGGTGGTCAGACTTCCCAGGAGTTGGGGACAGTGATGGGTTGCTACCAGTTCGCCCCGGTTCAGGCAAACCGGTAGTAGCAGTGATGGGAGGCTCCGCCCACCCGCCGGGATGTCATCAAATACGCTCTGCGCATGCGCAGAAGTGGCACGCGCACAAACCAGTAGCAAAGGTAAGTGAAACCCAGCACTGGGCAGGGCTCTTAGCTAACTTTGTAGGCTGTCTCCCAGGTGCCACGTGCTGCGTTTCTGTTGCTAGATGGGTCCTATTATGTCCTGGAGGCCATGTCATTTGTGTTGTGGATGAGTTGGCTCAGGCCTTAATGGCCCATTGACAAAGTGGGGGGGGGCTGAGTTTCTGCCTCCCTTTTAGGGGAAATATTCCGCCCTTTTAATATTTCCTTTTTCTAGGAGAGGGGTGGGTGCTAACTTCCCACATTAGCTTTGAACCTGACCAGCTTGGCTGGGATGCAGTCACTGTTGTTCACAGTTAGCTCCTGATAAACATTTCCCGTAAAACCGACGCCCACAGAGCCATAGGCGGCAAAGCATTGTGCAACCGTTGCATAAATAAAACAAGCCTCTGTTTCCCTTTTATTTTCTTTTAATGCGTGGAGCCCTTCCTAGTGACATCCTCCGTCAAAATTTGCTTAATTATTGGGTT